TACCCATCAACAACCAAGGAGGTTCACTTACAAAGCCCACTGTTTCTTAAAGATCCAGTCTAACCACTGGTTTTCTCCTCCTTTACCCATGGCTTTAGCGAGTTTAGCCAGAAGTGCTTGGACTTTTGTTGCTAAATCAACAGCGGCTTTGGCCGTCATGGTCCCCTTATTTGCGTTAGCATCTGCCATTGTGTTACAACAAATCAATACTACAGGTATACCCCACTGTAAATACAATACACGCACAGTGCTCACTCAAGACCCAAGGACTGGTACTGATTTTCTGCAATACGACTAACACTCCATGCATCAACTATTCAAACTACTGTTCAGATTATTAATCTCCCCAAAGATACTATTATGGCATCAAAAATTCACTTAGACACTTTGCCATTCACAGACTCAGTATGGTGCAACACTGCGTGAACACTTCACGAATTTCCGTACTCACAATTCTGGGTCCATACACTTGTATAACATTTTCCATATACCGTATCACCATAAGGTCCTCACATATATAATACTGTATTCTGAAAGTATACTGGCATTAGAGTTCACATAACATACGTTACACAAAATAATGACCCGTTAGCACCTGGTTAAAATAACTTTAAAATTATAGCGTATACATAGGAATATTAATAGTAGGAACTGTAAAATGCCCCGAGATATTAAGTAAATGGAATATATATCCTACCTAACACATAACTAAAGAATATTACAAATGCAGAATTAGCATCCACTTAACCTTTGCATATAGTGCAATGCTTCTGTTAGCACTCAGAATTAAAACACTGGGCACTCCCACGATGGAAACATTTCACAACTAGTGCCACGGCCCAAACATGTATTCACTGTCTGTAAGTAATACTGAGTTAACAACAGAAAAAAAATTTGGGCAGATTGTTACATATCAAAATTCTTCCACTATTAATGAACCTTATTCACACTCTACAAGTTATTGTTGCAGGTTTCCTTTTACTTTAAACAAGACTTTTTCTAACCTAACTCCAAGGTATTTCTTTGAACTTATTTCACTTTCTCTGCAAACCACCACAAAAAGCTGTACCTCGGAAAAATATGGAACAAAATTATTAGCAATCTGAAATACTCATTAGTTACAGTGGAATGGTTATTAAATACCCGTACAGAGAAATGGTTATAACTCAGTTAAACTACAGTATCACAGTCATTCCTCCCAACTCGATACTATGTTCATTACATCACCATAGCTGCCACCATTTATGAGGGCTTGAGCTGCCACCATTTATGAGGGCTGCTACTGCCACCAACAATTCCTTTTACTGTTATATATCACCATTGGTAGCGTGACGATAGGAGGCTCGTGGGTAGGTGTAATGATAGTATCAAGCAATAGGGAAGAAATAACGGTAAATACTGTAGGTAAATAATATACACAATTATACAAATACAAAGTTTATTTAAACATGAATATGAAATTAGAAGAAAAAATTGGTTTGTACTAACAGACGAAATCTATTACTAGGCCCTCAGGCTCAACATACTCACACCATTACTGGGTGGACATATTCAATACACTTCCAACCCTACTGGGTGGACATACTCAATAGCACAACTATGATAGTCACTTAGCACCATAAATACTAGGCAACTGCCACTACAACACTCAGTCGTCAGGAGTGATACTCAAGCAACAGCCATGGGGTCCAGCCACCATGGAGTACTATCTGACGAACTCTGGAGATCCCAGTGGGTTAATTCCACCACACAAATATAGCCCTACTGAGGTAGACATTCATCCACCAATGATGGGGGCTGGTAGTGGTGTGTGGCTTGGTGGTCCCGGGTCACCTCGTGGACCGAGCGTTAGGGCCAGACGAGCCAGCTATGGGGGCTATAGGTGGTCTGAAGTGTCTGACGGCCGGGTCTCACGAAGGTAACTGATCCTACTGGACCTCGGACATGTCCCCAGACATAGTGGATACAACATCCACCCTACAGACACGGCCTAGGCTGCGTTAGGGACCTGTATGGATGAAGGGACGGGCACTTACTAACGGTTAAAATGCCCGCGTGCCCTCACTCAAACCAGACCAGGGAGTCCAGCTACTCCTATTCCAATGAATTAATTTACGGTACCCTCTGACGTTGAAATTGAGACTATGAACTCATTTTCATTCTCTACTATTATCTTCACTAACAATGCTCTGACTCAGCTATCGAAAGCAAAATTAAATTGATTACAAAGGAATGGATGGCAACAGGTCCCAGCATACAGCGTCTGCTCCCATAGACAAAGGCGGGGGAAACAGAGAAAACGGGGGACGTTTCCACTGGGGGACTCGGAAGGTTTTGTGGACGTTTGAGCGTAATATGAATCCTTAAGGTTTTCAGGTTAGCTCTTATCATGACCATTACACCCACCCACCATCCCCTCCCACACCCTCATCATCCCCACCCGCCGAAGAGCATCAGCGCTCCCAAGGGCCCTCCTTAGGGTTGGCGGTGACCCCAGGGGCCCTGCCAGGGGCAGTGGCGGACCCAGGGGCCCTTCTATGGGTGGTGGCGCCCCAGGGGCCCTCCCAAGAGCGGCGGCGCTCCCAAGGAATCTCCCAGGGGTGATGGCGCCCCCAGAGGCCCTCCCAAAGACGGTGGCGACCCCAGGTGCCCTGCCAGTGGCGGAGGCGCTCCCAGGGGCCCTTCCAGTGCGGCGGCGCTACCAAGGAATCTCCCAGAGGTGATGGCGCCCCCAGAGGCCCTCCCAGGGGCAATGGCGCACCCATGGGCCCTCCCAGGGGCAATGGCTCACCCAGGGCCCTCCCAAGGGAGGTGGCACCTTCAGCGACCCTTCCAGGGGCGGCGGCGCCCCCAAGGGCTCTCTTTAGGAGTAGCGGTAACCCCAGGGACTTTTCAGGGAAAATGGCGCCTCCAGGGGTTCTCCCAGGGGCGGCGGCTCCCCTAGGAACCCTCCTAAGGGTGGCGCCCTGAGGGGCCCTCCCAGGGGCAGCAGGGCCCTCCCAAAGGAAGTGGCGACCCCATGTGGCACTGCAAGGAGCTATAGCATACCCAGGCGCCCTATTTAGGGTTGGCAGCGTCCTCAGGGGAGCTCACAGGGGTAGCAGCGCCCCTAAGGGCCCTTCCAGGGGCAGTGGCACCACAAGCGCCCCTCCTTGGGGGTAGCAGTGCCCCCAAGGGAGCTCCTAGGGGCCACAGTGCAGCCTAGGGGACCTCCCAGGGGCGGCAGCTCCCACAAAGGCCCTCCCAAGGGCGGTGGCAACCCCAGGAACCCTGCCAGGCACGGCGGCAATCCCAGGACCCCTCTTTACAGGTGGCAGTGACCCCAGGTAACCTCACATGGGTCGCGGCACCCCTAAGGGCCCTCCAAGGGGAGGAGGCACCCCTAGGGGCACTCCCAGGGAAAGTGGCATCAGCAAGGGCCCTTCCAGGGGCAGTGGCTCCCCAGGGGCCCTCCTTAGGGGAGGCAGTGCCCCCAGAGGCCAGAGCGCCCCCTAGATTCCCTCCCAATAGCGGCAGCGCTTCCAAAGGCCGGTAGCAACCCCATCCCCTCCCCACTGTTATCACCCATTCCACAGCCTCACCATCTCCTCCCCACCCTCGCCATCCCCTCCCACACCCTCACCATCCCCTCCCTAAGCAGTGCTAAACAGCAAAATTAACTACCAAGATTATCTTAAGAAGTCAATGTCATTAATCTTCAAAACCACCATAATTATCTTAAATTTTACACACACACATTCAAAAACCAAGAAGAAATAAGCTATGTTCTGTGTGTAGCCAATTCTGCAAGCTTTCTGGTCACAACCTATCAGGTGGGCTGGATCTGATCTCAATGAGATGACACCTCAAAAATATGGACATTAAAAAACAAAAGTAAATCCAAAAATGGCTGTATTTTGTCTTCGGAAATATTAAACAGTTTTTGATGGGAGACAATCTTTTATTTTGATTTACACTGTTAACAAAAAAGTACCAAGTACTTGGCGAGACCAGAAGACTTGCCAAGGCATGAACAGAAATGAGTTACTACACATGTCTTCACAACAAGGTGTTAACGCTTTATCACAAGGTACTTTCATTACATCAACTATCTTGAGTTGTTGGAGACTCAGTCTTGTGATAGTCTACATCATGAGATATTTGATGCAATGAAGTAGCTTATGATAAGGTCTTCAACATGTTATCAAGACTTACAAGGAGATGTACAACATCCTTTGACATTGCATGTGTCGGATATTGCTGAACAAAGTTATTTGGCTTGAATACATGAAACATTTTGGAAAGGAATAAAGATGTACAGCTGTTAATCAAAACACACAAGTACAGTACTTTATAAACTGGCAACTACATAATGGTATTGGACAACTGTTAGTAAGCAATGATGAAAAACTTATACTCTGAATGTCTTGGAAAATATAAAAGATGTAATAAGATCTGGAATCTTAGAACATAGCCAAATGCCAACAATGATGAAACAATATAAACTGTTTACGTTGGACAAACAATCACAAAAAAAAATTAAGTACAAGATAATTTACATCATTCTCTTACATAAAGTGATGAAGAACAGAGAAAAAATTTAATCAATAATCATAATGCGCAAATTTTTAATACATGAAAAAATATCTTAAAACAAAATGAAGTTATAATTATTATTGAGTGATACTTAACCAGCGGGAGATGTAATGTACCAATGAACACGGATAAGATGGACTCCAAACTAAAGATATCTGTGGAGGAGGAAGTGGAGGAGAAGGAAGTGGTGGTGGTGGTGGAGGAGAAGGAAGTGGTGGTGGTGGTGGAGGAGAAGGGAGTGGTGGAGGAGGAGGAGGAAGTAGTGGTGGAGGAGGAGGAAGTGGTGGTGGAGGAAGTGGTGGTGGAGGAGGAAGTGGTGGAGGAGGAGTGGTGGTGGAGGAGAGTGGTGGTGGAGGAGGAAGGTGGTGGAGGAGGAGGAAGTGGTGGTGGAGGAGGAAGTGGTGGTGGAGGAGGAAGTGGTGGTGGAGGAGGAAGTGGTGGTGGAGGAGGAAGTGGTGGTGGAAAAAGAAGAGGTGGTGAAGGAGGAAGTGGTGGTGAAAGAGAAACGAGACTAAATGATAATAAATAAAAGAACAAAGAGGATGTGGAAGTTGATTGTATGATCAGTCCTCACTTGCTAGTTAGGGAGTAGTTTACTGTCCAAGACTCTTCAAATGGCTTGTACATTTATAGGAGCTCCTTGACAAGCAGTATTTATTCTCAAGAAATATCAATTCTTTTAATTTTCTAGTACACATTTATAAAACTTTCTCTGCATAATGAAAATCTGTTTTGCGATAGTTGAAAATATTTCATTTTGCATTATCCTCTTCCAACATATTAAGCATATCATCCTCTGTGCATAAATCCTCTCCCTCATCATCTTTACCTGACTCTTCCTTTTTTTCTCGTGAACAAATTTTTTTTACCGACCCATCCTGGTTTTTACTACCTGGTCCTGACATATGTGTAGTACTTGTGTCTGACTTAGTCTGTGTATCCTTAACTGGACTCACAGATGCCAGTTGACCAGACTGTTGGTCCTCATCACCATCACCTGTAGCTTCCTCTCTCAGGGGGGATGATGGGGTGTGTTCTTTTTCAGAGACTGACAGTTCCTCTATTATTCTGTCTTCATTTAATATTTGTTGTTCATTTGCTTCCTCAGTTTCCATATTAGTGTGATCAGTTTCTTCCTCTGCTGTATTATTGACAACTTCTGAATTATCTTCTGTATTTACATTCATGATTGTTGATTCATTTAGATGATCTGAAATATTTCCAAATAATAATTAGGACAAATTTTCTCTACAGATAAGAATACATCAACTTTAAACTTACTTACTTAATTCATAATACAGTTCTGTACATAAAGTATTTCTATATCAATCTAATATATTTTGCCTTAAACTATTTACTTCATACAAAATATCTTTCCCGACAATTAAATCATAATTATTCATATACTGTACAGTACTGTTAATAATACTTTATTCTAAACATTCATTATAGACAGATCTAAATTTACAAGGATTTGGTTTACAAAAATTCCCAGTTACAAGAAAAAAAATTATCCCTTTTTGATTTACAAACAAAAAACCCTCAGTTACTCAAAAATTAACTAGATATTTCAAAAGTATACTACAATAATGAAGGTTTTTTCAACCAGTATGCTTAAATATTTCACTAACTTACTATAAATGTCATTATTTTGTAACACACACAATGTTATCAAATCTACAAATAAGTTTTCAGTGTGTCATCATTCTCCTACAACCACCATACAACTTAACTCCTCAAGCTTGCGAGGACAAGTAATTTCTGTATGTACAATAAAGGTGTAGAGTTACAGTATAAGAGAAAGTGAGAAATTTGGAAGTAAATAAAAGTTTGGAGGTATAGAGAATGTCAACAACATAACAAGGGAGGGTGGGTGGAGCATCAGCTTATGGTTGAGATGGCATTTGTGTCATGCAAACAATTCACCAGGAACTTAGGACAACACAATAACTAATCAGGGGTCAAGTTTAGAAGATTTTTTATTGAGAACATATCTTCAATTATATAATGGTAGACAATGTATTACTACAAAAAATAATTATTATAGATGTTGGCTCAGCATTTCATGCTGCTCACTCGTATGGCACTGTGCTGACACAGCACAGCACAGTGCCATACAGTAGTTTTCCATGAAGCAACCAACCTATTAACAAGATGGTAACATACTTGTATATTTAGGTGGTGATACTGCCTAGGGCTACAATGAAAGCAATAGTTGGTTGTATAGTTGTATGCAGTTACCAAGTTAATACACATTAAAATAAAATAAAGTGTTTAAATTTGGTACATATTGATTAGACTACGGTACAATGAAATACCACTGGCAAGTAAGTACCTGTACAGTTAACCCTCACTTTACGCGGTTAATGTAACCCGGAGGGTCCCGCGTAAAGTGAGAAACGCGTAAAGTGAATAACATAACATATGGGATTAAATGAAATGGAGTCCGGGCCGATCCCCAAACTCCACTTTTTGACGACACACAACTATGTTGTAGTAAAAATATTATCTTAACTTTATGATGGTATGCACACACAATTAATAATTAAGAGAAATATCAATAATATTAGGTTTTTTAACACTTACATTAGTAGAAAAAATGGCTGGGCACACGGGGATGGGCGGTTGGTTCCGAGGCAGAGGGCAGATTATTGGCCCTCACCTGTGTCACTTGTATCAATTGTATCACTATCCACCACAGAGGCTTGCAGGGCCTCTTTGTCAAACTCCCCAAAGTCCATATAAGTCCATATCCTCACCATAATTATCACTATCACTGACTTGGGCCGGCTGTGGTGGGTGGCGGGTGAAGAACTGGTAATGTTTTGATGACTGGGCGACCTTGTGCGCACCATGTTCGCGCAGCTTACACAACATGGCGGATGGCGGGAGGTTTGGATCCAAAAATGGCGCGGCTCGCCAGCCGCTCTCCGCGTAAAGGGGTACACGCACCGCGGAATGTGAGCATCCTGGGTTCCGGCAGGGCACCGCGTAAACGTGGAAACGCGGAATGTGGGACCGCGTAAAGTGAGGGTTAACTGTATATGAAAAGTATGACAAAAATATATGAATTGGTACCCTAGTAGGCCAACAAAAAGGGAAACTGCCTGCTCCAACCTGCTGACCACTTCAACCATGTGGGTAGATTTCGTATAAACACCAAATTATTCATACAGTTAGCCAAAAACTTCTCCAAATTTTCTGATATTTTGCCATGAAAGTTGTATGAATTGCCCAGTACAAGTGCTGTACTTTGAATTATTAAGGTTCTAGTGTATGTATGTAACTGTCTACGAAAATATTCATATGTACAAACTTGTACAATATATATAACTAAGAATTACTGTTGTCATAATAACATTTTAAAGTACCACAAAGAATGAAGAGTTGATCCTCAAATTCAATCTTATGGTCAAGCTTGGAACTAGACAGCTTGAGCATATTGCGCCCTTTAAGATGGTGGTGTAGGACCCGTGAGATTAGACCCAAGGATGCAACCCAGGTGAGCAAGTCGAATGGCTTTCATCATGAAGAACAGTAACAGACAACACTACCAACATATCCTTGCACAACACACAGATTTTCTTTCAGTCTGGTAACAAGCAACCTGTAACACAAATACACTGGACCTCTGCAATACGGGAATTTTGCTTACGGATATTCACCCTTACGGACATTGTAAATCATTACCACTAAATCAGGTTACGGAATGAACATTCAGCCTTACAAAATTATACAAAATATACTACACTTTCTTAATCGCTAAAATTGAGAAGAGAAAGAAAATTTACCCAAATTTTTTATTTATTTTAAGAAATTCAAATCACATTTAGAATCTGGGAGCGCATCAGTTACAGTCTGCCTCCACGTCTAGCTATTGTTCTATCAAGACTTTTCCACACTGGAGTGTATTTCCCCTCAAGATGTCTGCAAAAATGCCAGCAAGTTCAAGTGCACATAAAAGAATTACACTAAATGTTTACTCTATGCTTTAACGGAGGTTTGATCCTGCAGAAAAATTTACGCCATTCCTAAAACTTATATTTTCTATGTATTTACTACAGCACAGTATTATTTGTTTTAAGTAAAATTATAATGTGTCTAAACTATAATTAATGTGTGTTAGGAAATGTATATCTCCATTTATAAGTGTTTTTATTATTTGTGTTCACTTTTAACATGGGAGTACAGTATATGGGAAAAAATGGTTCATGCTACAGAAATTAACGATACGGCCACTTTTAAAGAACACATCCATTCCGTAATGTGGAGGTCCAGTGTATCATAATATGTACCGGTATTCATATACAATTTCATATTTAAAAACAAAAAAAACTTGAGGGTATTACCAAAAACATCCTGAGACTCCATTTCAGATTCAAAATCATTATTCCTTAATGATGTTTTATTTGCTCTCTCCTGTTCTTGTTTTCTTAATCGAGCTAAACGTCTCTCTTCTGCAAGTCTTTTGTTTTGCTCCAGTCGTTCTCGCTGCTCACTGGTCAATACCTGTAAATTAATCAATATTCCTAATGTTTAATCATTATCACACAATTCATACCTAACTGAATACCAATACAATAGCACAGTTTATTCCTTGAAAATCTTCAAATACAAAATCACTTTAGATTCATTAACTGGTACAGCTCAGTAAAGTAACGGTACAGTACAAGTACAGTATACCAACCCTGAATCTTTTTAAATTCCACACTCTTTCAAGCACTCACCCACACAAAGAAACAAACACACACTCTCACTTTCCTTCACTCTCACCATAAATGTTTTCTGGTAAGGTATTCCACTTCTGCAAGATTCCACTGTACTGTACTTGTATACTGGTACAGTATATATCACTTCTTTTCAACCACACTTCAGGTTTCTCCATTTTTTTTTTTTTTTACGGGGATTAGCCCACCACGGGCACAAGTCATCGGGTCTGGGGAGAGGCGAAAATGTAAATAATAACAATAATAATAATGATGATAATAATAATAATAATAATAATAATAATAATAATAATAATAATAATAATAATAATAATAATAATAATAAATAAAGAAATACAAAAATAAAAAAAAGATCAAAAGTGAGATACAATATACGTAGGTTGTGTTGTCAATAGTAAGAGAAATAATTGAGACCTGCAATTGTGTGTAAATGAGGCAGAAAGTCAGATCAGCAACCTGGGACTCGGTCACAATTTTCATGATGCCATGTGGCAGCAGGATCTACCATTAGACAACAAATTAGCTTCCAATATCTTCCCAGGCGGTAGTACCTCCATGTTTGGTAGCTGCCTAATACACTCCTGCACTGTACTTATATTAAAACCTAATAATACAGGAATGTTTATTGCATATATATATATATATATATATATATATATATATATATATATATATATATATATATATATATATATATATATATATATATATATATATATATATATATATATATACATATATATATATATATATAAAATTTATGTTTGATCTACTGTACATATAAAAAATCTAATCCAATTTACCTTAGAAGGTAGACTTGGGCTTGGAGGGATCACTGCTGGTGGTAGAGGAGTAGACTGGGACGTAGGGAAGGCACTACGACCCAACAGTTCATCAAAGATATCAATTTGTGGCTCTTGTTCCTTCTCCTCCTCATCTATGCCTCTTCTCACATTGTCCTCTACTCCTCCATCTTGCTCACTTTCAAAGTACATGTCTAATCGAATACGCTTCATATGCACCTGGATGTGAAGAAAACAATAATTCTATGATATAATTGTGCTGTACAGGCAAAATCTGGAGCTTGGTCTGTTGATAAAACCTTTGTTAACTGAATGTAACTGAATTGCATGTACAGTCACGGTCAATAGTCCTGTTGCCTCATGCTGCTCCACGATCCCCGAAATGAACCTGAAGCAGTAGATATTGATGCATTATTCTGTCCATAAATGCTTCGGATTCACGAGTCTGAATCTTGGGGATCGTGGAACGGCAGAAGAGGTGACAGGACAAAAAGAGAGATATAATATTCCATCCACAATCTATCTCTAAGACTTAATCTACTCCTCCCTAACCCAGGAGTTTGGTTTCTTAATAACAAAAATAGACCAAAACGATGAAGGTCTTAGAGAAATAAAACGTTTGCTGCTCCTGCATGAAGTTCCGACTCTCCCACCTGACCTCAAAAGCCAAAATGAGCATAAAATTGCTTTTATGGCAGCCTATTCTATTTCTGACTGCACTAGTGTACCTACACAAACTCAAAAACACACACACACACGCAAACTAAAACCACCTCAATGAACCAAACCACCTGTATGGTGCAAGAAAATCCTAAAAATAAAAGTAGGTTAACAACAGTAAAATGGTGTAAAAACAATGAGCATACAAAAAAAGTTCCAATACACTTAGGTACTGGCTCAAGAAGAAAGATTCCGGCAGCAGCATGCGGATACAGTGATCCCTCGGTTAACGAACGCCTCGGTTAACGAAAAAAATTTGGTTAGCGAATTCCTTACGAATTCCTCTCAACGTGATTTCGCTTGCTCACCAGCTGGAATATTAGTCCGCCAATACAGTAATCAGTTCTAGGGCTTAAATTCATTCCCATTTGAGTAAATATCAAGTTTTATTGATAATATGAAGTAAAGCCCATATATACTGAACCACTGGGTCAACCTACAAACTTGACAAGTCATCAAATGCACTGCAATAGGTATAAAATATTGATTTCATACCATGACAAATTCAAATGCCAGAGATTTATATATCAATATCCACATCAAGTGCTATATATATTCTGCACTGTGCTGTGAAATGGGGATGTACGCTTAGGCCTTTATAATTCTCACAGTAGCTGCACCTATAACTTTGTAGTGCTTCATCCTGCTGTGAACTACAAGTCTGGGAGGGGCAGCCACTGGGAGAATCTTCCACAAACATTTCACACACTGACAAAACCCATACTTTTATTTTCCACACTTAAGTGGATCAGCCATGATAAAACCGGAACCCATGACACCAACCCAAAAAATTCAGCACAGACCAGAGGATGGGGACCGCTCTGGTGACCCAGTTGACTCCAGGCCCTTCTTAACACCAATCAACAGGGTAGGAATAGCTGACAAGGCAGGTTACAACTCTCCGAGGTAGTCAAAGACTACCTACCTTACCTCATAAAGTTATATCAACACTTGAAGCATTAGTTAAAAGATTTTATACACCAGTTTAAGAGCCTGAAAAATAATTTAAAAAGCAAGTAAAAATCTTTTAAAAAAAAAATTTAATAAAATTGTGAAGCTTTTCCCACTTTACCTGTACATTTTTGTTAGCCCCAAGCTTCTCTATCTGTTCTAAAGTGTCTTTGAAGGGCAGTCTTGGGAAGAGACGGTGAGTCCAGTGTTCAAGTGTTTTCAACAAAATATCAAGGTCCTCTTTTTCATGACCTTTTCCACGGAATTTCACATCTTTAAAAGCTCGCTGAAGAACTCCAATACCTCTTGGGCCAGTTAACCTGCAATTATTATTGAAGAATTAATAAGGAGTTTTAATACATAATACATAAAGTGCCCTCACACTATGGATACTAAGAGACAAGTATACCATACACAGGATGCTCAGACAAATGGTATTTATAAACAAATCCTGTAATATCTCCCTTAGCCAGAATCCCTATATTCTCTATTTAAATGTTTCTGATCAATTACCTTTAAAAATTAACTATTCATTTTTTATTTTTTTTAATCCAAAACAATACTCACACACATGGCAGACATTTTGGTAGTAATGATACAAAGTAAGAATTATAAATTTAGCTGTTAGAATTTTGCCTTGCCATGCTATAGTAATTCCATATTCTGCACTATAAATCTACTTATTCCATAGTGAGAAAAATACTACAAGAGGTACAAATGATACACACCGCTGGGCGTCAAGTTTTGGCTGTGGATTCTTAATCACTCTCTTGGGTTTGATAGCCTGCTGCTGCTGGCTGGCTGGTTCCTGACCTACAACACACCAAATTAAATATCTGTAAATCAACTAACATGAAAGTTATTGTACTGGCAATTGTTTTGAAAGCTGACAGTGACACGGCAAAAAAGGCAAAAAATAAATTATTTCATTATAATTTTTGCCATAGAGGTGTGAAATGACCCATAATTCTTCCATCTAAACTTCTTCTTGTGTACAGTACAGAGTTGCCATAAGCACCTGTTCATGCACCACCCACAGTAAAGTTTATACAGTGAACACTAATCTGACACTTTATCACCGGTGTATTCCATATTTTTAAATCAACAATAGTACATAGGCATACCCCGCTTTACTTAGTACAAACATTCCTAGAAAATACTAATTTATACAAAATTATGCTATACAAGTATATTTTCTAAATGAAATGTACTGTACAGTCTCAAAATACATCTTTCACATCCAAACTAATGATTTACTCGTACTTTTGAGAGTGGTGGAGTCCTTGTCACTTAATTCATGTTTACTTGCTATCTTGCAATTTAAATTAATTCAAAAGTGAATTAATGTTTAAATATGAACCACAAAAACACCACAAATTAAATGTAAAATGTACAGGACACAGACTCCTCAGTTCCCCTGACCTTAAGGAAAATCAACCCTAACCTTCAGACTCAATCAATGCTGTCATGTTTGTTGTACACTGTGTTCTCTTTAATTTTACATATGCCCTGTCCTTAAATTTTTCCACAGGCAGCCAGAATATAAATCAAATGTGTGTATACTTATTTTTAGGATTGAAAGGGAAAGAGATGGCCTATAGTCATGATATGGTTCCCTACAGTGAAGGTGAGAAATAAGAGGAGGAATGATGTAAGTTATGGAGAAAACAAGGTGGTCAATGAGAGATATGAATTATCAGAAATTGTGGACTGGAGGGTTAGCAGATGAAAAAAGATTGTTCTCGAGTTGTCGGTGAAGGTGAAGAATTATCATCTTTGTCTGTGTTAACTAAGTACAGTACATTTATTTAGTACAGTATGTATACCCTCAATACTGTACTTTCACAAGTTCACACTATACAAATGTGATAATTACAAGTACAATTACTATACAGTGCTAACTAATGAGGTATATCATAAAAATATGAATCACTATACAGTACAGTCCCAGGTAGTCTGAAAAACAGAAAGGGGCAAGCTTCAAAAATCTTATCTGTACATGAAAAGAAGCGATTATGAGACAAGCACCAAGAGTCACTCACCTGGTTCACGAACTTCAATAGCTTCCTCCATTGGGTTATTTTGTCCTCTATCTACATCACCATCATCACTGTCATCCTCTTCAGCCTCTGAGCCAGAACCTCTGACACTTTCTACTTCACGTTGCCCAAACAACTCATCCACGCTGAGTTCCATGACTATACACAACTTATGTCAAACTTCTTCGATCAATCTCAAGTCTGTAAATAAAAAATATATAAATAATAGATAAGTACTGTACAGTACTGTTATATTTGATGAGAGTGGTCTAGCTTCAGCACTAACTTGAAGATTTTTTTTTATATAAGATAAAAATCTTTCTTACCTTGAGAAAATAATAAGTGCACAAGGAATGCATTTTGCATAATACTGTACTGTATCACTTTTTACATCTGAAATAGGAGGAAGACAACAAACACAGCCTTGATGTGCACACCATGTTTAGCCTGAAGGAATGGTTCTTGTCACAGAAAGGAATATTATCTTATTTTTACAAAAATACAAGAGAAAAGAACTAGTAATTTTATTTAGGTTTGGTAGGTTATTTTCTTTATTTTATGAAGTCAGAAAACGTAAAAAAATAAATTGTATATACTGTATGTGAAATTATTCAAAAGGTATAGTATTCCTCCTGCATTTTTGTCAGTTTCTCAAGGTAGATTAGCTTTTAGCTACTCAAGATATATTGGTGCAAAGACAAAACCACTGTCTTTTTTTTCTCTTTTCCTTTTTTTTTTACGGGGAATAGCCCACCCGGGCACAGGTCATCAACCCACAACGAGGAGTGGGGGGCAAAAAATAAGAGTAAAAATAAATAAAAAATAGAAGAGAAAAAGATTATATTACTCTACACCAGGAAGATTCCAGAAAAACCAGCTTTTTAAAGTGAGACATTGTATGAGTATGGAAACACAGAAGGCAGAGCATTCCACAGTTTGGCTGTGTGAAGAAAGAAGGGTGTACTATAACGGGTTATTCTAGTGTGACCAACATCCACACAGAAAGTGTGGTCACCGCGGGCAAGACGAGTGTTACGAGCCCACGGCCTTGCCGGCAGTACACAGGATGCCAAATCCACCGAACATTGCCCGTTAAAGTACCTGCAAATGAGAGAGTGAAGCAACATTGCGGCGAAGAGAAAGAAAAGAAAGATTATCAACGAAAGGAGGAGAGTCAATAAGACAAAATGCCATTGATTCCACCCTGTCTAACAGTTGGACAGAAGAAGAGCCACCCCAGATATGACCCTTAAAAACCTGAAGCAACTGCTGCGGCATCTGTACAACATTCCCAGCTTTCGGGAGGCATTACTGTATTATCAAAATTAAACAATGTGTGCTAAAGTTTCGTGGTGGTGAGGCAGCATCTATAGTACAAGGAGGGAGTGAAGTTAACAAGAATCTGTTTATATCAAGAAAACCTCCACCTCTTTTACATATCTCACTTTATGGAATTTCACCAAATTTTTAGATGTTGTTTGAGTTGATTCTAAGCAATAAAATAAAAATGACAATGCATAGAACCTGACCTGACCTAACCTCACCTAACATTAACTAACCTGTACTTCGTCATTTCAATTTTCTTACTTACTATTATCCAAACAACATCTCTAGAAAAAATTAACACGATTTTATTACTCGGTATCATCCAAAGAACAGCTGTGAAAAATATGAACGAATTATATAAATGCGTCTGAATGCTTTCTGCTCCACCTTTACACACTTTACATGAAATGCAAAAAATGAACATAATAATTGTCCAGTAAGCCTATAGCTACTACTGAAACTCATTGATCTGTGTAACCTACAGCTAACACCCGGTCATTAAAACTGCCAAGAGGTTTAATTTAATGTACTATGTGACTACTACTACTACCCGGTACAATACTTGGTGAGTCAGGCACTTCTTGTTGACACGTTTTACTGAATTAATGTCCTACTGTTTTATCACTCTTACCTATACTTACCGTAATTCTCAGATCATAAATTGTTCATTAATTACACAGCAAATTTCCAGCTAAATCCTTCAATGTACAGGGACCAAAGATATTACCAGTCGTCGTATTTGGCGGGAGCAATGATGACGTTTTATAGTGGAAGAGCTGAGAATCCGGAGTTATTAAAGGTCGGTGTGTCTATCTTTCTATTGTGTGTCTATCTTTCTATTGTATGCCTCTCTCTATTTTGCTCTCTATATATTGTTGTCTAATAAAATGTGTATACGCATGATAAGAGGTTTTTATTGGCCTAAAAATGGATATGATGGAATAGAAACACGCCAACACATCACTTATTTATTACACTGCTCTAAGATATACTAAAAACAATCGTGTCCTATCGATAATATTTTTGAAGTTATTAAGTTTTAAAATGGGTCAAATAGACATTTAAATATTGAATAACCTCAAAAATACTGTTATATTACTGTATAGATAAAACACGCTTGCTGGTTTTATTTAATATAACTAAGACAAGATTAAAAAATAACTTATTTAACACCAAGTATGATAAAACCAGCGTGTTCTGTCTCAGGTATTTCTTTAGTGATTAAATGCACTAGTTGAGACTGTGAGAGAAGGACCTAGGGGTGTATGTTGACATTGTGAGAAGAAGGTAAATCAGGCAAATAAATTATTGGGTCTTATAAGAAGTATCTCGGGTCCCTCGTGACGATCTTCAGGAGTGAAGTGCTTCCCCATCTGGAGAAGGTGCCCGAGATATGCAGGGGTCAGTTGGTTGAAAATGTTACTGGTGCCTGCACTTCGGCACCTTACCCCGAGAGATTGGAGCCCCTGAAATTGCCTAGCTACTACCTAGTTGAGGTGTATAAGCATCTCAAGGGGCACTACTCTCTCGAGTGTCCTTACTTGGAGCTGGCGGACGCTCGCCCCACAAGGGGTCACAGCTCAAGATTGAAGAAGCCGCAAGTCCAGAAAACTGTGAGGGCAAACTTTTTCGGAGTGAGAGTTGTGAACTCTTGGAACAATCTACCAGAGAGTGTTGTGACGGCACCGAGTGTGAGCTGTTCACCAACACTGGAGCAGGTTCAGGTACATTCAGGAGCCGGTGCATGCCCAGTACTTGCCAACAGTGCGTGACAAAGACGTGACCGATCGCCCAAGCGGCTAACGAGCCGATCAGTGGTGAAGAGGATAAAAGTAAAAGAATATACTTAAAGTTAAAGATGATGTTCGTCGGAGAATCTGCATCAATCCGCAGCTTCACTTATCAGCTGACACAACACAACCATACAATATAAACACTGGTCCTGTCACTCCCACTGTAACTAATACTGTGCCTCCGAGGAAAACTGGTCTTTCGAGAAAATAATACAAATTGTGACACAAATGAGTATATAATGATATGTTTATAATCAAAACTGGCTTAAGTTGGAGTATTTTAAAGCTGCCGGAAGAGAAATATTGAAGGAAACTGTGGTGGAGAGAGACTTTTGGGAGTCATAGGTGAAGCATTAGTGTTCTATCAGAGTAGAATATTGAGGAAAGATCATACAAGATAGTCATTAATACATAAGGTAAATATGAAGAACGGGCCATCAATTATTAACGATTATATTTACTAAATGTAAAGGCGATATTTAACCAAAATCGTAATAATTAATAAGATGGCGACTATCTACTGACTCAAGATCTGTACTTTTGAATAAGTGATGTCATCTAAAATACTTACAGACCTGCCTTATTCGCACCTTGTCCTTTTAAAGTACTCATACAGTATAGGAGATTTACAATTTATTTTCAGTAATATATTTATGAAATTATATTCAGCATCTTGAATACAGTACACACATTAGTCATGATAAACAATTCTTAAGCTCTTAGAAACAACACACGTGTATCTTATTCTATCAAGTGTGTGTAGTCATGTGTATTTTGACTAATAAACTTTGAAACTGGATATGTCATGAATCTAAAATTGATGGGTTTTATTTTTATACATTGTTGTAACAGGTTTGGGGCTCCAGAGCTAATTGACAATGGAAATCCCTGAGACAGACAGTGAGGATGAGATGGCACCAGGCTGGGAGGAAAGATGCACAGCAGATGGTCTTGTTTTCTATGCACAGTAAGTTAAGTGTAAACAAGTTCTAAGTTGTCATCCATTTAATTTTGACTCAAGTTCACCAAATTGTATGTTATGACCTTTATTACTGTACTACCTGTACTGTATTTGTGTTTGGGTATTTGATACTCAATACCAAACATAGAAGTCAAGAGGAAAATTGGTATCCCCAACAGACATGTAGAAGAACAAAGACCAGGAGAAAGTATAGTCAGATGTATTACTATAGATGGATGGTAGTAATATAATCTACTGTAATTACTTTCATAGAGATGACTAAATATGATGATGATGATGATTTGTAATTTCATAGTCCTTAAGGGCTTTATTCTGTGACGAGAGACACCGAGTTATAACCTCCTTCTTAAGGGTCTCTTTATATATATATATATATATATATATATATATATATATATATATATATATATATATATATATATATATATATATATATATATATATATATATATATATATATATATATATATATATATATATATTTCATGTAGATCCAATGTAGATTCATAATGAAAATGTGGATAAGATAAATTTTGGATAAAATCACACGAAAGGGGAAACAACGACACTCTTATTTTGCCTTTTATTCAAGACATTCTGGGGCGTAATATATATATATATATATATATATATATATATATATATATATATATATATATATATATATATATATATATATATATATATATATATATATATATATACAGTATAGCCTTTTCCTTGATTTAGGTGACTCATGTATTGTTAAAATATAAATACTGAAAACCCAGCATACCCTGGACCCAGACACACAACTGGAGCAACTATAATAAAAACATTAGCTTCTTTTGTATTATATCATCGTTTCTAAAAGAGTCCTGATGGATACAGCATTTACCAACAAAGGCTGAAATCGTTAACCTCCACTGTCAGGGTAGTGCCATTACAGTATACTTGACAACCCCCTGTGCTCACCTACAATGTGTCATTTCAGGATTAACCACTTTAGATCCAGTCATTCAAGTGAGCTGTATAGACATCACTAGACTTTGTCTGCTCAGTTGGCAGTTAAGTGCTTCCCCAAAATTTTTTGACACTTGTCTCAAGTTTGTTTGCTTTGAAACAGCTAAACTTTCAGCCATAACTGAATCTCCTAACGATTACCCTATGGGGATTGTCTCCACTTAGGATAGAAAAGCCATCAATTCACGAGGCAAATCTTCCAGGGATAACACATTTATATCTCTCAATTGTGTCCTGGGTTCAGACCCCAGCCCAGGACAAATGTGACAAAACCAAACATTGCAGATTTTCCAGGTACTGTACTCCGGTTTCCTCCTAAACTAACACTGGACACTGAAGGCCATAAAAAATATAAAAGAACAGACCAACCTGAACAGGTACTGTTGTGAAATAAAAATAAATTAAAGTAAATAAATCAGAATATTGATTCTCCTTCAATCATGAAATGGGATTTTAGGATTTAATTTCCACTTATGATTTTAAATTTCATTTGCAACTCTTGATCTGCAAATACCAGATACTGTACAGTGTATAAAGGAGAAAGTGTGAAAAGACGTTCTTGTAGGGCAATACTCTCAACATTGTATCCAAGTGTAATAATGTGGGCTGTGGCACAAGAGATTTGGGAGCACTTAAATCATGAGTTATTCACTCCATCCTTAGCCATAAAATGGGATTTCATGATTGAATACCACTTTTAAAGGTTCATGTGTGTGCTAGGATGAGCTAAGTGGTGTAGCCACACAGTTCTTGAGTTCCTTTATAGATACATCTGTCAGGAAGGATGAGACATGTAGGTACAGTATAGGAATAAGATGACAGATGCAGGTAAAGGGAAGTTAAAAATAGATCTGTATCTTTGATCATACTATGGGTATGTTATTGCTAGAAATCAGAGATGCAAATAAGTTCTTGGTGCTCAGAGAAAAGTATGGTAATGATAACATCTTCCAGAATATAATTCAGCCAATTGTGATGCAGAGGAGGAACAGGAAGACAAAAAGTTTACGAGCAGTGGAGATGAAATGTTTTAAAGAACTCTACGATACCGGGTATTTGTTTCTGAAGTAAGTAATTATAGTCCCTTTGACTTATTACTAAACTTCACAGATTTTGAAATAGATGGAGTTTACTTTCAGCCACACCACCAAGACTACACAATGGCACCACCCAAGAACCAACAAGAGGAAAAGGGTCACTGGAGGTAAGATTTTTCTCTCCTCACTCGGTGTTTTGTATTACTGTACAGCAGCTAAAACAACTATCTGTGCAGGTGGGGGTCGATATGCTCCGAAATTTTACGTGTGACTAGTGACAGCCCTCATATACCAAAATTTATCGTCCATGGTCACATATTGTTTCACGCAAAGTATGCACAGATAGTTGCTTTAGCTACTGTACCTGTACCGGTATACCAAATTAGTTGAATGATTTTTGAAGACCTGCATTCTCTATACATGCTGAATGAATGTAAACTTCTATGACAATTTTACTTTAAATACAACTCATCATCTATTATAATCAATACTGTATATCTATCTACTTACAGGTCAAGGATATATAATTTAGTTATCTCAAATCTTCCAGTACAGTAGGGTCGGGATATATCGCGAGATAGGGTCTAACAATGTTCGCTATACTGTATACTAAATTGCGATATATAATTACATGTAATCAATGGGGAAAATAGGGTTAGGTTCTGGAGGCCAATAAAAGTGACTAAACTTGACTTAAGTTTATTTTTTTACTAACTAAAGCTCCAATGAACACTAGACTCGGAAACAAAAGACTGTTTCAATATCATTATCATCATTAAGGAACACCAGACTCGGCAGCAGACGACACACTGCCACCCTCACTTGACAATCCCACACTTACATAAATGAACAAATCAAAAATATTAGTTACAGTATTAAATCTTTTCCATTAAGTTTTCCATTATCCTCACTTCACTTTCACCTCACTAGTAACCCATTTACACTCGCCTTAGAAGTCGTAATTTGCAGCTGAATCGGCTGCTTACTCGTCACTCACTCAGAGAGACTGAGCGGACGAGTGTGAATGAGTAGGTGAGCAGCCACAGTGGCTCCTCTGGTGAGCAAATAACGCATTTGTTTGCCATGGCGGTACATTTGAAATATTTCCTGCCCGATTGGAAAATGTCGATAATTTTGGTAGTCGCGATATTAAAAAGTCATTATAAAAAGTCGCGATATATCCCAACCCTACTGTATTCAGTAGGGTAATGACTTTAAAATATTGACAGTATTTGTACTGTTATTTATTTATTAATTTTTTACACTCAGAACTACCTTTTGGGTGGGAACGACAGATCACAGAAGAGGGAAAAGTATTCTTCGTTGATCACATAAACCACAAGACCACTTATACAGACCCCAGACTTGCCTTTGCTGTCGAGGAATCCAAGTCCTTAAGTGACTTGCGGCAAAGGTTCGACAGCAGCACTACCGGTATACAGGTCTTACACGGACGAGATCTAACGGGCCGCATTGCTATTGTCACCGGAGCTAACTGTGGAATTGGTGAGTTGTGTTATGGTTAAATTTGAAGTGGATAATTTTTATTAATTTCCATAATTCAGTAGAATTTCAAGACTTTTTTATTATGCAGTACTTCAGGGTCATGACAGACACACTATGAGGTGAATCAGTGAGAAGTTTCCACAGTTCCTTTGTTCACCTTATATTTGCTTCTGAGAGCAAATTTTACAACACCCTGGTGGTGATTCAGTGGTCTCCTGCTCACAGTCTAATGGAGGAAGTAGTTATGGACAGATGTGTGGTCTGAGAAAAGATAAGTACTAGCAGGATTATGTGCCCCCACTACTGTAGTGACTACCTTCACTGAACCAATCACCTTACAACTATTCACAGTAAATTTAAATGACTATCTATTTACATGTATTTCAAATGAATAATTAAGGAACAAAGTCTCATTCCATAGGCAAGGGGAGACAACGTGACATAAGAGAGAAACTGTATCATCACTGATCCCCCACAGACAGAGATTATGGTAGACTTTATAGCAGGATACTCTGTTCATACAGTTTATATGCTACAAGCTAGATTCAAACCACATTCTTGCCCAGTCAAACCTGTGTACACCATCCAGATCTATTGGTTTTGATGGTAAATATGCAATGTGTGATGATAAGTGTATTTTATGTGATACTGTACATATCTGTACAGTATCACATAAAAGACACTTATCACTGTAATCAGTAGATGTTCTGGTTCTATCTTTTCATCTAAATCATATGCCTAAATTGTTATTAATACAGTACAGTATATGTGAAATAATTTCAGTCAGAAAAGGCTTAAGTGATATATTATGTACACATACGCAACCATCTGACTATTTTTTAACCTAAGCCTTGCTGCCCATCACAATACTCTTCCGTCTGAAATATCTATTCCAGTTTATAAATTCATCATTACAGTTGTGTAGTACAGGTGCAGCACAGTACTGTACTCTGGCTCAGAGTAAAATACATTCACTAGACAGACTCCATACCTCACAGAAGATGTCATTACAAGAGAAAGTGTAAAGAACTGAAGATGTGTGAGGACTGTAGAGATAGTATCTAAACTATTATGATAAAAGTGTCAAAAGAATAATGAAAAGAGTTTATAAGTAGAGTGAAGGAACCATCAAATGTGGTCTTAAACACATCATTGTGTTTTTCACAAGTTGAAAATGTGGGGGGTTTTTTTGCAATAAAATTAAAGTTTTGGTAACACATACTGGCACTAGCTTGTAAATAAATCATTGTGTTTATAGGTTACGAGACAGCACGATCGTTGGCATACCATGGTTGTACTGTGGTGTTTGCTTGTCGTGACTTAGCAAAAGGCGAGGCAGCCATTGCCCAGCTACAAAAGCAAAGGCCAAGTTCTTCATGTCACGCACTACAGGTAGATCTTGCATCTCTCTCCAGTGTGAGGATGTTTGCTCATACATTTTCTGTCAGATTTGAGTAAGTATCGCTTAATCTGTATGTGTAATGTTCATTCCTTTTTATTTACGCTTTCTGAAAGACTTGTGAATGATTACTATTTTAACAACTGAATAAGAAAAGAGCTAAGTACATTATTTATGTTCAAAGGAATTAGGCAATCTCAAGGTATAAAAACTCAGTGTCATGAGCAGAGGTGGAACAATGCACCCAGTACTGTACATCTTGCCCTTAGGGTGTCTGTGATCTACCCACTATGCGTATATTCAACTCTTGGATGACTTTCTCCCAACACCTTAAGAATATTTAAGTAACATCCTTACGTAACTAGTGAATAGTTTGTAATGCATTGTTAACCACATCTGGAAGTGTGTTTCCCTGTGTGGAATTATTACAACCTTAACAACACCAACCCTTTCTCATATCTTCCTCTACCAAAGTTTACACACACACACACACACACACACTTGCTCTGTACTGGATTCTCACTCTCCAATAACTATTAACATTCAATAATCTGCATTTACTCCAGGGTTTGTGCAAAATTTATCATTTGTAACAAGATTTTACTGAACTAAAATAATGTGTTACAAAGCAAGCAACATTCTTATTTGACGAGAAGATAAACCTGGGTTCTCAATGGCTGATTATTCTCAAGAAGCATCTATATTAATAGTTTAATTTACGTTACCATACTGAAACATACATCCCAGTACATCATCTATATTCAATATATGCATTATTTAATTACTCATACACATTTATAACTTATGAGGCTTTATCTATATTTTCAATATTTCATCTGTCATGAGTACTTTGATGTCTTGACGTAAACGGTTGAGCCAACACATCCTTTTCATACACACATTTACTCATTAATTGTTAATATACCGAGATTTGCATCTCAGTGACATATCTTTGTTCAATATATGCGTTTATTTACAATTTAAACTTATGTTTAATGATTTTAGCCTTGTTTCATTTAGATAATGTGTGGGAAGGACATGGTGGTCATTTTATACAAACGGACGAGTCCCAATTGCAATTCAGATGATAAATTCTCGACAGTTTATAATTTATAATGAAAAGCTTTCCTGTTTAGTCTTGTAGGTACCTTGTTTACATCATACCCCTTACTGTACATTACTAATTATGCATTTGCCATAAAAAATATATTATCAATCCCTGTGCTGTACTGTATTTACCTATACAGGGGCCCCCAAATTCACCGGGGTTAAGTTCTCAAAATGGCCGCGAAAAGCTAAAACCACGAATAACATGTGCATACTAGAGGGGGAGAGGGTACATTTTTACTTGTGTACAAAGAAATGTTTAATCCCTTTGTGTTTGCCCTTAGGACAATTATTTATTTTACCTGTATTGTAAATGTGTATGTGTGTGTGTGTGTGTGTGTGTGTAGACACACATACACAAAACACATACAAATAGGTAAATAATAATTGGAAAATCCTCTCACAAATAATCAGAAACAAAATTATTAAAAATGTGACAGTCTACCCTCAAGTCTGTGCTCTATTACAGTACTTTATTAATAGAGCACGGACTTGAGGGTAGACTGTCACATTTGTAATAAATTTGTTTCTGATTATTTGTGAGAGGATTTTCCAATTTCAGGTATTATTTATTTATATGCATTTTGTGTATGTGTGTGTGTGTCTACACACACATATTTGCAATACAGGTAATGTAAATTACTGTCTCTAGAACGAATGGCTCCCCGTCCCAGCCGAAAATGCTGGCAACTTTAAAACTACCCACAGACATTCTTGGGTACATCCAGGGTGTCATCCGCGAATAACCAAGAGCTGCAAAGTAAAAATCCACAAACTTGGGGGCCCCCTGTATTATGCCAACTTAATAAAGGGCCTTAAGCTACAAAATAAAAAATTTGCTGAACTTTAACTGTATTTCTAATGTCTTTTGTTTTTGGTACCTTGACAGTACTCACTCGGGGCACCTCATACAGTATAAGCATAATTTCTTCGTCTCCAATCAATGAAGGTTTTAGGGGTCCATTGAGATAGTGAGGTGGAATTATACTTTACCCTTAACTCAAATGGAAGTGATGTTGTACATGTGAATTAAGACTTCTGCATAATTTGAGTTTCACACCATTGTTTTTGTTCACGGAGTTGATTCATTACTAGCACCTATTTATATTTCCAATTCCTTACACCAATTTTCTGCATTACCGTATTCAAAATCTTGTCATTTCTTCATTGCCGTAACATTGTATTAAAAAAGTTCATTAGCTAATTTACCTCATCTACTAAATGCTCTGGCTCAACCCCTCCCATCATCCACTCCATTCGTCAATAATTTTTATCTACAGAGTTCTTATAATTTTCTTAGCTGGGCCTTACCATTTTAATACCCATTGTGCCATCTTTCTTCTTCTTTTTTCATTTCCACCACTTGTCAGCTTACTAGCCATTTGAGGGATTGGTCTATTCTTTTTATTACACATGATTTACCCGGTACATTGTCCAGTGTTAGTATAGGTCCAAAAGGAAATAGAAATACCTGGTTCATTCTAGTCTTTTCCAGAGCTTATATGCTTTTTCCCTTATTGATTTATCTGTAATTTCATCTTTATAGCTGAACCTACACACAAAAGGGTAGGAACAAGCAGCCCCTCATGTAGGTTTCTTGCACATTTCCACTCATACTGTACCTTGAATTTATCGAGTCTCATTAACAAGTTATTCGTCATGTTTTCAGCCGATGTGACATGCTAGTGCTAAATGCTGGGGTGTTTGGACTTCCCCACACCCTCACAGAAGATGGATTTGAGACTACATTCCAGGTCAACCATCTATCCCATTTCTACTTGGCTCTGTTACTTCAGCCATTACTTGTGCGATCTAGTCCCTCCAGAGTGATCTTTGTGTCCAGTGAGTCTCATAGGTATGTCGACATCTCTTAATAATTTTTCTCATCCTGTTTTATGCTTCTGGATTAGAGAGTGCTTTTGGATTACCAGTGTGTGGGGGTTAATGTTCCACCATATTTTAGTGTGTATACTTGCATGCCCCTCACTTATAGGTACTGTATACCACACATACTGTACTCTATACATTATATATGAGACACGTTAGACGAGAACAAGACAAACACGAGATGTGTTCATTACAGTTTACTTATTTCAAAATTTCGAAACTTTTAACTCCGTTTTCTTACCTTTTTTTTTCTCTCGTTTGTCTACATCTCGCCCCGAGTGCTTCTAGTACATCTGTCTATGTAAATGAATAAACTAACCATATTTTACAGATATGCTTCCCTGGTTACCGAGAACATTTCCGAGGAATTGTTATCACCGTCACATAAATCAACGTATACTTCCATCATTGCATACTGTAACTCAAAACTGTGTAATGTTTTGATGGCTCTTGAAATGCAGAGAAGATTTGGTGAGGACCTCTTTTTTGTTCAATTAAATTTGTTGCTATGTGATTTTCTTGAATTAAAATGTCTAGTAAAGTGATCAAGTTGTTGATTATTAATGTTTACAAAGTGTCCCAGAACCAACTAAAACTTAAGACAGGATATGAATGTATTTTAGAGGCAGAGACTAGATTTATTACTGTAGGTGGGTGTACTGTATACTTGAATGGTTAAAAAGAGTCGGTTAAGTTCAAAGATTTTCATAATTTGGAAGTAAGGATTTGCATAGTTGAGAGCTGAAGATACATTAAGTTTTGAGACAAAGCTTCACATTCTCTGTAGCGATACAAGGTGTTGCATTACAGGCTGCCATATGTTCAATACAATATCACATTTCCATAATAAAAACTCCTCTGCCAATAATGTACATAAGAAGTGTCCACTGAACCAACATGATTTATACTGTACTGTACTGTACTTGGAGGTGTCTTCTTGTACAAACAGGTTAAGTTAATTTCAGAAATTTAAAATCAGTATCATGTACACCATAGTGAATAAACCCTGCCAGTTACCTGTGATTCATGTCTCAATGGTTTTTAAGTAAGAACAATATACAGTACTTCCATTATTATGTCTGTCATTAATTTAATTTCATTCACTTTAATACTGTAATGCCTAACTTTCCTAAGATTAATTTAACATCAAAAACAGTCAAATTAGGTGAAAGGCAAAGTGGCTAGAAATCCCCCCCCCCCAACAAAGACATATCATTCATCTTCTCATATGAACCTTTTTAAACTACCAATTAAACCATTACTCATATCTTCTTCCCAAAAATGTTTTTAGTAATTTTATAACATAACATTACAGGTGAACAAGGTATCAACTGTTATGCAGTACACCCCGGCAATGTTGTATCATCATACTTGTCTAGGTACTGGTGGGCTTATCGTGTATTGTTTGCTGTGGTTCGTCCATTCACCAAGTCTCTGGTAAGTCAATAAATATTAGTCTTTTTATGACCTGTAAGTCATATTTCAAGTGACCTGTGACATTTGTGCTAAGGAGTGTGACTGTAAGAGTATGTTTCTATGTAGATGTATCTGTCCGAGTTCAGTGTCGATCTTGGCGGCCATAAAGTGTTTGAAGGTGAAATCGGTGATGAATTCGTGTTTGATGGAGGATCTGGAGAGGATTGCTACACCCTCGTGTTATTCGTTTGGTGACCGTCTGCATGTGTCTATATAATATAATTTTTCTCACACAGTATTGCTTTAGAATAAATGAGGAGAAATTGGAGTCAGGCAAGTGGTTGAGTGAGTGCATGTGGTGTGAATAACAAATCTACTTGTCCTCACATGAGTTTGAGGAAAAGGTTATGTGATTGTAGTTGAATGATGACACATTGAAATTTTATTTGTAGACTTAATGATATTGCAAGTGTTAGAGAATAATAAAATAAGAAAGTGATATAAGTAATTAACTGATAATAAAAAACTGCATTATTTTAGCATACAGGTAAAGCTCTTTACAATGGGGTTAGGTTCCTGAACACCCCATCGCAGGTCAAAATATCATAAATTAGGATCATAACATGGGGTTCAATGGAATAGGTTTCTGGCCAGTCAGACACCCACATGTATCACCGAAAAAAGTTCCAACAATACTTCCATCAATACAAAATTAAACAACACTCGCCACATCATTCAGAACAAGTCTGGTCATTATCACATGTCCCCTTCAAGGCTAAGGGGACTCTTAAGGAGAGTGAAAACATTAACCCGAGTCCCACACAGACTTTGGGGGAGTCTGAAGAGTGGAGACTGGAGGTGTAGCCTTCGTCCTGGCCTTAAAGATGGCGAGCAAAATGCTTGCCAGACATTTTCAAAGTTACACAGCTCACTTCACATTCAAGTAAACATGAAAATAATGATGTGGACTCTATTCTTTCATGAACAAACGTAAAAAATTTGTGATGGAGTTGTGGTAGGGGATTAGTGGGTCTCTTGTTACTGACCTGATCTGATCAATGTCAGGTGGAGGTGGATGATGATGAGATGGTGAGAAGAAAGTAATTTGCTCTGAAGATGGAAGACGATGTAGAAGAAAGTTAAAGTTAGGAAGTGGGAAATAAATTGGGAGATTTGATAGCAGGTGGGCTATCCACCTTGCAGGAATGGGGTTATATCTGCCACAACAGCACTCTCGCAGGTCTACTCCGGCAAGGGTAGACAAGCTAAGCTAAGGTAGTTTGTGGTGTTGGAGGGGGGGGGGGGCCTCCAGGTCCTTGTGTGTCTGATGGGATAACCCCATCTTTTCATTTACTACAGGTGGAGTTGGGGATTAGTGGTCTCATATTACTGACCTGATGCAATGTCAGGGCGATGGATTAGTGGGTCTCATGACCTGAAGATGTCTGGAATAAAGACAAAGGCTAAGGTATTTTTGAGGCACAAGATTGCTAGTAAATACATTTAAAGCTAACAAAATAATGTATAAACTTTTATTCATAACATCTGCTCTAATTGTGTTGGAGAAATGAATTTGATACCATTGCATATATCGAGTTGCATTCCTGTTTATGTTATTTTTTATCTGAGATATATACAGTACAGTATTGTATATGAAAGGTATAGGTATTAATAAGCACAGATTATTACAGTAACATACCTTTACTAATTAATGAATAACAAATAAACAATATTGTGACATGAATAAAATCCTCTTAAATCAGGGTTTGCCTGCATCTTAACTTTCAATCACTGGTACCTCTTAGTTAACTCTACTCCATTGTCTCTTCAATGTCAACTTCAGACAGCTTGTGGGAGTAACCCAGCTGGACTGAATTTGAGGAACATTTCTGTTTTCCTTAAGTGTTATCTATATTTTTAATTATTAATAAAAATGGTATTTATTTTATTTTAACCTAAAAGAAAAAAGTGTCCAATTTCCAAGCCAATTTTATTTTAAATATATTCAGTAAGTAACAAGGTGTACAGAATTTGAAAATATACTTTTTTTTCTGCAGCAACAAGCATGTGCTACAAGTGTTTACTGTGCAGCAAGTGTAGACATCTCAAGATATGGAGGAATCTACGTCAACAACTGTGTGCCGTGTCTCCCCTCACAGGCCTCACTTAACAGTGTACTAGCCAACCGTCTCTGGGTTACCTCACTCTCAATGATAGAACATGTACTGGGGAGGAGAGCATTCAATATGCAGCCCCTGACTGAATGCAACAATCAAAGTCTAAATGATAAAGGCAAAACATTCTCCAGTTTTACCATGACCAATGTCTCTTAATCCTTAATGGCTGATGTAGATGTTCCTGTTACTCTTCAAGATACTGTACAGTACCAGCAAGGAATTAAAGACAATCTTGGTTTTAATATGTAAGGATACAGGTCTTGAAAATAAATCTTTTGACTATACAAAACAGAATTTAATTTATTTCACTTTATAAAGTAACCAGACAGGTATTTTCTTTTCACTAAATGTACCAGGAATTGTTTAAAATGGTAGGACAACGGGTGGATGGAAGTGAGTAGTAAGAGTAAAAATAGTTGTTGTGTCTTAACACAGCATGCCAGAGTGTTACTACTGTCTCCTCAGCAGCACAACCTACGTAACAAGACAGACACAGCCCAGAATCTCGGTAGGCCCCGTCCAGTAGAAAAGGAAGAAGTAGGTTAGTAATTGAGATGTTTGGAGAAAGGTGAAGGTATAGCCATGGGGCTTATGCCAAAGATGGGTCTGAGTTAGTTGGACAGGGAGAATTTTGAATCTCTGATCTTAAAATGTCAGAGTATTCCTAGCATGGAAGAATGAGAGTAGTAGTACTGTATTGTCGAAGAGTATTTTTTAGAAGAAAGTGAGGAATAGTTTTCTGATTTGCTTAGCAATAATCACACTTCTGATAAACCTCATTGGTTATGATACTGCTATTGCGCCATTAGAGTTTGAGTGGAGTGGTGAAATGAGAATATCTAATTCATAGCCGATGGATGTAGTGTACCTGAATTTGTTCTCAGGCCACCCAGGTGCAGATGTAGAAGTATTATTGTTGTTGGTGTTCAGTACGGAAGGGAGGATGTAGGCCGCCCTCTATAAAATATGGCCTCAGCCCGATTCATCCTTCAGTGTGGGGTGCAAGCTGAAGCCACCACACCATGTGGTTGGGGTAGGGAGTGGAAGGTCGAGGTCACTAGCCAGAACTCTGCCTGGTGCCTCAACATAGTTCCAAAACAGTGCAGATACTTGCTGAGCAGTGTGTGGTTAAGAGGTTTCTATCTGTTTGTCTCCTAATAGTCCCCAGTAGACGTTGAGTGGTGGAATGTTACTGTGTTCATGTAGTTGTTCATTTGTTGTGAAGGATGTCCAGTGTGTGTTGTGTATGAACCTCAGTGATTTACTGTATTCTGTATGATTTATAGTTTCTTGACGTTGGTAGGTGCTGCTAACTGGAGTGTTCAGTGCATATGTTAACAGGGTCATATTAGTGCTTTGTATAAGTGTGATTCGGTTTTTATTGTTGCACTTCTAAATCTTTGTAAGCTTGTGAGTGCCTTCTGTGCTACTGCTGCCTTCATGGTGATGTGGTGTTTCAGGAGAAGGGTGTGGTCGAATGTCACTCCTGGTACTCTGTTTAACAGGTCTGGGTGTTGGATTGTTGGTGTATGGGTTAGGTATAAGTGGCACGGTTACTGTCTTTTTGTGCCGAAGAAGGTGATTTGTGAGAGTTTATTTGTATATGCCATTTGAGTTCCCACTGTGTGACCTGCTCGAGTTCCCTACCTGATTTTTCTGTGAGGTAGTCTAATGCCGTTCTGTGTCTTACTAGTTGTATTATGTCATCGACATACTACAGTATATGGCTAGTGAGTCAGTCTGTATGGGGTCAGGCAATTCATTAGTGTAAAATACAGTAAACCCTTGCCATTTGCAAGGGATTGGTTCCAAGAAATGGCACGAATTGGCAAAACTGCAAATAGCAACTTACACTACCTTAGTGCACTATTGTATATCTATATCTATATCAAACAACTGACCAGCTGTGGCAGCACTCATCCCCTTTTAACTTATCTAAAAATAAAACTTTCTTTGGTCAGGGTCATCACTGACTTTTGCCTTTTACATTTCACTCTACTAGCATCACTAGCACTGACTAGGCAGTCTTTTAGGGACCATTTCAACAGAAACACTAAAGTTTTGAGAGTACAACATGAGATGTTGCGCGGGGTGACTCGTTGTGCTACGGGAAAAGGCTTGCAAGCTAGCCACCATAGCCACCATCTGCTTACTGAGAATCGCAAACTCATGAATGGCAAGGGTCCTATTTTTTCTTCTTTTTACTGGGATTAGCTCACCCGGGCACGGGTCACTGACTCGCATCGGGGCCTGGGGGGCAAAAATGTAGTTGTAGTAGTCGTACCAATAAACGCTGCTTCAATAGTAGCAGATGTCCACGAGGTGAATGGGAGACAGCCACCACAGTAGAATAGCATGTCGATGGAAAATGCGGACATATGGGTTAAAGAAGCTTACTCAGAAATTGTCAGGTGGTCGCCAGCTAACCTGTTTGAACCACCCAAGTGTGTGGCCACCAAAGAAACGATTCGGGAGATGACTCGCCTCATAATCGGGTACACTCAGGACTGCTTCCTTGCCCCTTTAGCTCTTCAAATACTGGCAATAATACCACATCTATTCTGTCAGAGGACACACACAAAGACTAAGCACAAAGAAAATGTGGCAGCAATGAAGAGAAGATTGACTGTACTGCGCACCTCATTGTCATCCCTAAAAACCCGTTTTAATTCATATTACGCTACATAATATTCAAATCCACCACGCTTGTAGAATCTCAGGAGCGTGTTTATCCTCGCGATCCCTCCCAGTAAGCCCCGCCTTTGTGAAGACAGTTATCAATACGTTGTTTATTCCACTTTCTCCTGGGAAGCTCAATCTTGAATTAGTCTGTGTAAATCAACCCAAGTAATTCGCCAGACCTTTGTCAACTGAGGGTCATCTTTGAATGAGTAACAGTTAGTTTGTTTGTAATTATTGTCATTGTGTGAGTAGCGATCACTGGCAACTCAGGGGTATATAAGCTTGAGATGGCGAGGAATCAGCGTTCCCTGACGCTGATTCCCGTTTGTCTCCAGGTATGTTCTGTGTTTCCTAGCCATTCAGTTAATTCAGTCAATTGTAGTGATTATCAGTGTTCACCAATGTTCATGATTTAACAGTTGAATTGTCATTCACCCAGTGTAGAAGTAATATAACGTAAATACGTCTGTCGTCTAGACAAGAGAGTTTGTTGGTGTTGTCATGTTTCTCGGTTCCCTGACGCTGATTCCCGTTTGTCTCCAGATCGAGGGTGGGCTTAATTGAAACCCACCGGTCGCTCGGAGCCGGTGGATACCCAGCAGTGGTCAATATAGGAGTGATGGCGCTGATTCGGCGTGATTAATCGGCTCTACTCTACCTCGTGGGCCGAGGCCCCCAAACCCATCTCGGGTCGGAGTGTAACCGACCACAACAACAGTTGTTAGAGGCGCCAGTGCTATACCCTGGGACAGGCCTTGGAATTATGGTCCACAGTGTGGTTGTATGTGTTTTTTTTACCAGTGTGTTTTATAAGAAATAAATCAATGAAGACATGTTATGGTTTCACCCTTCTTTACCCTTATCGATCTGATCAATGGAAAACCTAACCCAATGCCTAGTCCACTCTGCCCGCTACCTAACGAGCTACATGCTGTCCAGAGGGGGTCTGGTGGCAGCGACCCTTAGAAATTAAGATTAGAGTTAAGTTATCCCCTTAGATTTTGTGACCCCAGTCTGGCAGTATATGACAATGTGGCAGAACGAAGGATTTTTTGTGACCGGTGTGTGGAGTTCTTGGCAATGGGGGTTGTTGTGTTGGAATGCTGTGTGTCTTGCATTAAGATCAGCCATAGGTATTACTTGTAAGTGTGTTGTTCAAGATGGAATTCAGATCTGTGAAGGGGATGTGTGTGTGTTTGGCCTTGTGTATGTTATGCATACCATTATCTGTCCGTGTTCAGTGTCGAGCCATAAAGTGTTTAAAGGTGAAATCGGTGATGAATTCGTGTTTGATGGAGGATCTGAAGAGGATTGCTACACCCTTGTGTTATTCGTGTGGGGAGTGTCTGCATGTGTAGCCAAAGTGCTTGATTTTTTAGTTTGTGAATGTCAAGTTGAGAAGGAGGTTGTCTGGGTTGTGTTCTCGTAGAAAGAGAGAGATGTGTCTGTTTGCAAAGTACTATGCTCTACAGTTATATTGCATTGGTGATCATGTTTGCGTGGGTTTTACAGTTTTTGTTAGTCTAGTTGTTTTTTGTTTTGTTTTTATTTTGAAGGAGTGTTCCTTTAGTTCAGTGTTTATTATTTAAATTCTGAACGTGAATTGTTCTGGGATGGAGGTGTTGGTGCAGGTGTGCAGGGGATGTGGTTGTAGGTGGAGGGTGTTGGACTGAGGTTAAGGAGTTTGTCGGGAGACTTCAAGTAATGTGTGGCGTATTATAGTCTTAACTCATGGTATAATTAGATTAATATTTTGTGTCTTTTCTTGTCGGGGAGTAGTGAGGGCGAGGTTTGCTTCCTCTTCCTTGGGTTACTGGGTGTAGCTTTTGTGTTTTGGGGTTTCTGTGGTAATTTGTTACTGGTTTGGGTGGTGGTGGCTGCCTGGGTGAGATCAGGTGGTGGTGGCTGCCTGGGTGAGATCAGGTGGTGGTGGCTGCCTGGGTGAGATCAGGTGGTGATGGCTGCCTGGGTGAGGTCAGGTGGTAGTGGCTGCCTGAGTGAGGTGTGGTCAGGTGTAGGTGTAGCTGGGGTGGTGGAGGGGGATGTAGGTTGTGTTTTTTACTTTTATCCTCTTCGCCAAGTTCGCCACTGATCGGCTCGTTAGCAGCTTGGGTGGTCGGTCACGTCTGTAATGCACTGCTGGCTAGTACTGGGCATGCACTGGCTCCTGAATGTATCTGAATCAACCTGCTCGTGTTGGTCAAGTCTGTGTGTGTGTGTGATTAAAGGCCTGGGTCAGTTGCTTCCTTGCTCTGAGGTTGGTGTTTCTGCCTGAGGGGATTAGCTGTGCAGAGTGGCTGGGGCCTTAGCCACCAGGGACCATCGTCCACCTCATTCCCATACCTGACTCACATCTCACATCTTCAGTCCTTCTAATCACCTCCACACCTACATTTCCCTCCTTTCTCTACCGTCTCCTATTTTTTCTTCGTCTCTGGCCCACGTAAATGTGTCATTACTTCCAAACAGTTAAGGTTTTCTGATAATCATAAACTTCATTATTTTGTTATTAAAATAATCTGTGGAACGGCGTTCCGTCCACGAAAAAAGTGGTGGTAAGCCACTACACTACACCACTGTAAATATGTATGTACTGTGAGATTACTCAACAAGTTAATATAAAATCAAGGTTCCAGTAGCAACAACAATGAACTAATTCTATGATTTTATATAAATATCCACAAACTAACTTTGGTTAACAGCCATCTTAATGGCAGTATTATCTGTCCGAGCCATGGCATTCATAATTCCTGAATCCCACAGTACAACAACACAGTTTTTTTTATCAACATACCTGCACTCAACTGCTAATAATCACAACGTGGTGTCCTGGAAGCCTTTGCAGCGCCACAGGCACGAGATAATCCACAAACAGCGAACGTAAACCCCAGAAATAGTAGTCAAACACTGTATCACCACACACGCGCATACAACCGCCACCATTACCGTACCTTAATGATAACTGGGGACTGGAGTCTGGACTAGGGAGTGCTGACTGCCGAATCTTTGAAGTGCTTCGACTCCTTAATTCATTGGTTCGCTTTACTGATTCACATGAAAATCGCTGACGCTATTTACCGACTGGATGGCAGAAAGAACATCATACACGATTGGTCGTCATCTAGTCTCATTCGTTTTCTCAAATTACCTCTAGCCATCATTAGCTAGAACGAAATTGATAATTATTAACGAAAATTAATCATGAGATTCGAAGCTTCGTAAACGACCCCGCTGTTATGACACCAAACTAGTCCACAACCAAACAAGCAGTTAGTTTTAACATCTTCAAAACCCATACGTGAAAAATATAGTTATATTATATTAAATTTCTGTATTTCTTAAAACAATACAGGTACAGGGGAACAAAGATCCCGCCGGGGCCGGATACTCGAAAGTATTTGCAATATTGTATCTTCCAGTTACCTCCCAGCTCCGATCCTCAAGGGTCTTCTCTGTAGCTCCCCCACCGAGAACTCTCACTATTTTATTCTTGATCGAATTAATTGGCTTTCAGTTAAAGATTGGATAGAGTTCAAACTCTGTCTATTGACTTTCAAAGCACTAATATTTGGTAAGCATAAGTATTTGGCCAACCTACTAATTCCACTGACTATATACATAGTCATTCTGAAATGATTTTGCGTAATAGTGATGATCCTTCCAGGGGCGGATCCAGAAATATCAAAAGGGGCAATCCAAGAAATTATGGGCTGGGGAACATGGCGAGCCCACCCAGCTCTGACCAATATCATGAGCATTTTGAGGCCATTTTGAAGCCACGTACACTTGTTATTATAGGATATTCTGAAGTCAATAGTAATTACATTTTGCCATTAAAAATGCGTGAGTGCAATACTGCATTAAGGAAAAAGTGTTGGAATTTTCTGATGACAAAGGTGGGGATTAGGACCCCCCCCCCCCCTTGGATCCGCCCCTGCCTTCATGCCTTGAGCGTAGAGCAGAACATGTACAGGAATGTTTGTTTGCTACCTTATTATTTTCATATGCTGTACATAAACATTACAAATATCAATAAATATAAAAACTAATAGAACATATACATTATAACCACATTATATAATTTTAGTTTAACAAATTTATTGGCAGAGCTTGTAGTACAGTTTGCCTATTCTGAGTAATTCAGTCAGGTCTTGACACTGTGGGTGGTATCACTTCTCACTGCCACGCAGGACAGAGGTTCATACACAAAGAAATACATCATATTCATTAACAGCTATAAATGTATAGAGGTCAGATTCATATGGGTAATGTCACTGTTCACTGCCATGCAGGACAGAGGTTCGTACACAAAGAGATGCATCATATTCATTGACAGTACATATACATATATGTACACACACACATACACATATACATACATACACACATATACATACACATATACATACACATATACATGTACATATATATATACACATATGCACACATACATACATACATGCAAGTAAATCACTGTAGGTGCGCGTGATCTAGGTATATGCTGATAACCACAAGGAAAGACTAGTCTGTACTCACCCCTGAAGATGTGAATTACACGAAAGCGCTTGGGAACTTCGTGTTTTCTTCTTTCCTTGTGGTTATCAGCACATACATACATATACGTCGGTCAGATTCATGTGGGTAATGTCACTCTTCACTGCCATACAGGACAGAGGTTCGTACACAAAGAATGCATCATATTCATTGACACTATATATAGGTCAGATTCATGTGGGTAATGCCACTGTTCACTGCCGTGCAGGACAGAGGTTCGTACACAAAGAAGGAAATACATCATATTCATTAGCAGTATATATAGGTCAGTGGATCACATTCATTGGACATCATATTCTAATTGAAGACTAATCAGTGTGGGCTAGCAAATTTGGGATAAACAGCAAGAATGTCCTCAAGCACACCTGATTCAATGAAGTAATTACATAGTTCAAGATACAATAAGTCAGGTGGCCTAAAGTCTTTGACAGTGTCACATTCAATAATAAGTGTTCAAGTGAACAGGATGCTGTTAAGACTGTGATTGGCCAACACTAACTGGTGTTGACCAATAAACACATCCAACACCCACATGACGCTGACTCACAATGTCAACAAACAGGACAGCAGGGTTACGAATTTGACGATTATGTCGCTATATTTAGCTTTTTTTCTTTTTAGCTAGTATTTTGGCAATTTAGCAACTTGGCGATATTTTAGCTACTTTTTGCATAATCTGGTGACATTTTTAGCGATTTTTTTTGTCATGAAACGGAAAAAAAAAATATATATATATATATATATATATATATATATATATATATATATATATATATATATATATATATATATATATATATATATATATATATATATATATATATATATATATATATATATATATATATATATATACACCTTGTTTGTATTCTCTTTAGTCTGCACTCATCCTGAAGATGTGAATTACACGAAAGGGAACTTCGTTTTTCTTTTTCCTTGTGGTTATCATATATATATATATATATATATATATATATATATATATATATATATATATATATATATATATATATATATATATATATATATTTATAGTATCAGTGCTCAGGGTAGGAAAAGGTCTGGGCAAGGCATAAATCGACAAGTCTAGTACGAGTCCTGAACGGGGCCCCATTCCGTTGTCCTTCCCCATGCTACCGTATCAGGTCCATTCGTGATTAGTTTCTCAGATGTGCAGCAAGTGTCTAGTAAAACGTCACTGGAGGCATAAAAGAAAGCATCACTAGCAAGAAATCGTTCACAAGATCCTGGAACATCCAGTACTGTCATCGAGGAAGAGGAGCCAGACTGGGACATATCAAATATATTAGAATCAAATAAGAGTAAGTACTAAGCTGTTACTGACTGATTTTCTTAAGTAATTATAAATTGTCTTGTAGCCGATTTAGAAGTTATTTAACAACTGAGAAGTTCCCTAAAAGAATTATCGCCCCAACTTATTTCACCTAAAGATTAAACCACCCTAAAATTTATTTTGGGAGGATGAGGTTGGGTTAGGATATGTTAGGTTAGATTTAGGTTAGTATAGAATAGGTTTAGGTTAGGTTAAGTTAGCATTAAGGTAGTTAATCTAAAGGTGAAATAAGCTGGGGTGATGATTCTTCAGGTGATCCGAAAAAAATCATATTCGGCTTTAAACACAATAAATTTCAAATGGGCGGCGCTAGCTATGGAAGTGTCACTTTTTATCGGAGTGCTAACATTCATTTATCATTTGTTTATCAGCTCTTAAACCCACTTCTGGTATTAATCATCTATGCATAACGTAACATAGTATGTTAATTTCTTCCATTTTATGGTTAGCTACATTTTGTTCACCCTATCTAGCGACTTTTAGTTACTTTTCGGGGTAACTCTAGCGACATTTGTTCAGCACGAGTTGGCAACTCTGCTTTGATCACAGCGGTCACGGGCCAATCACTAGTCACTACCAAACCAGTTCTCGAGCTACCATCACGAGGGCAGGTTAGCGTATTGTCTCGTTTGTTATTATCATTATTTTGCGAACGGAGATGAAGATTGTATGTAAGTTTGTAAGATAAAGTCTAGCATAAATTAGTTTTATTTAGTACTTACAAAATATTAGGTTTTAAACCAATTGACGTAGTAGACAGGCGGCCAAGTTTGCTTTGTCCACACTCACGGGATGTCATAGAGACGTACTAGTTTTTGTACTTATTGCCGTCTTGATAAGGTTGTGGCGTAATTTGTCCTGTATATCGATAGTTTCTTGTCATTTAGGGAATTTGAGTGCAAAATTCTGTAAGTGTAGTTATACATACTAGACCCTTGAACTGTGGTTAAACTTAGCTGTAATGTTTGTTTTGTTACTTGGCAGTATTGGTGTCACGCCACTAAGCTATTGTGTCTTGGGATATATATATATATATATATATATATATATATATATATATATATATATATATATATATATATATATATATATATATATATATATATATATATATATATATATATGAGTAATAATTTTTTACTTAAAAGGCATTGGTTTGGTGTAGCAATACATCATTACTTACCGTATATTTTTATGCAATTTTTCACGTGTATTTGTTTAATTGCACAGAATGTCGGTCATATTGTGGAGCAGTGAAATAATTAATGTACGTATATTTTAGTTAGGAATTAGCAAGGAAACTACTGCCAGTGTGTTAAAGTCTTACTAAACTGACTGATTCTAGCAGGAATATATTCAAAATCAGATATGATCAGTGGTGCATTTGTCTCAGGCAGTTCAGTGTTTGTAATTACTGTATTTATTGGAGCATATACAGTGTATAAGTATTGGTATGTTGCTACTTCATAACTAAGTAACGGAGTAATTTTTTCCTTATTTCCACACTGGATTCTTATTTTATACAAATGCCGAGCTATTTAAGAAATTTACCCTTGAAATTTAGACACCCCAGCATGTATCAGTTGATGATTTAACACCAATATGCTAACCTAACCCCCAGGTAGTGTTAGGGTATTAAATCAGTGAAATAAGCTCGCGTCTTGGATACAACAAATCAAATATGGCACCACTCTTATCTAATATAAGTTAAAGCAGTGTCATAAATGAACACACTGTACTGTACCTATTTCAAATTCTGATGCCGGATATGTAAAACTACAGTTTTATAATTTAGTTATATAATTTTGTTATAGAGAATTCCTATCTCCCATTCTCAATTTACTGTAGTGTATATACTCTATAATGTAGATCTTGTTAAATAAAATTTAAAAATTCAAAATACAGTACAGTGGTGAAAGACCTGGGCTTTTTATATATACATGTACAGTACAGTATTTAAATATTGTATCCAGCTACGATAATAACAGTAATTTTTTGGGCTAAATTAACCAAATTTTCAGCTACTATGTTAGAAGCTTCATGAAGACTGGAAAATAAAGCTCATAATGGACATCAGTTTGATTTTCACATACTGGTATTTAAAAAGAAAATGTCTACAGTGTTTTAAGTTTTTAATATTTTTTTCACTCACTACTATGTCATGGGCTCAATTCCTGGCCCAGGTCACATGTGGGAAGGGTGTTATCCAGTGCCACTACCAAACATCACAGGTTTCCTCCTCTACTAACACTGGACAGTAAAGTTCATAGCAACGTACAGTAACAAAAAACAGACCTACTTCCTGAACAGCTCATAAACTGATAAGTGGTGAAATGATAAATGAAAAAAATTAAGGAAAAGTTACAAGTGGGGTGTTATGATTGGTCATTACACTCCACTTGTTACTTTTCCATTTTTGTCTACTGTACTGTATTATATAAAAAGATGTTTGTATTATTTATTTTTTGTACTTTTTAGTCAAGCACAAACTGTGTGTACAGTCATGCACTAAGATGTTCAAGAATAAGGGGATCATATGAATATTAGGCACCCTAATGATTAATCATGATCTCATCATGCAGCATTAGGGTGTTTAGTCATCGGGTGAAATAAACTGGTGTGCCAAGTCTTTGTGTGATGTAAAGAAAGCTCTGTTATTAATAGTAACATTTTGACTGATGGGTGACTCATGCTTGATGGTCATACAGGATGTAGAAGATTACTAAAGTTGAGAGGTTTGATTATTGTTCTTTTAAATTGTTTAGCTACCATATGTTGCCTTCTTGCTGCTGCTGCTTTTAAATCTAATATTTATCTTCGTGAATATTGTGTGTAACTGTTAACTACATGTACACCTGTCTATGTTAAATAAAATATGTAGTGTACTTACCTAATTCGGAAATCAACCGCAGGATGAAGTTGGTGGTGGCAGGACTGGTGCTGGTGGTGGTGGTGGCTGTGGCAGGGGATTACGCTCTGTCGGACAAGTTCATCAGACTGCTGCAAAGTGAAGAATCAACATGGAAGGTGATCATTTGGAATTCATTTGCTGTAGTTACAATTCTGCATATACCTCATCATTGATAAAACCAAAGTAAATACAATTATTAGTCTTGGAAAATTGAATAGCATCTGATTAAGTTTTTTAATAATTTTATCTTTCAGATATGAACAGGAGGCTATAGTATGCTTTAGATATGTTGATAAGCGAGATGTTATGTTCTTTAATAGGTTTTTGAGTTAATAGGGTTACAGTAGTTAGTTATGGTTGTATAAGGTATTTGAAAATCGGCCCCAAGGAATGCATCCTCGTACTTATAACACTACGAGTCGCTCAGAAATGTTACATGCAGGTATCATTACTTTATCTACAACTTCCGCAGAACAAATCCTTTTCACATAGCAAGGCCTGCCAGTCCTCTCAACTTTCTGTATCCAGAATCTGTTGACTGTTCCCTTTCTTCAGTTTGATAAAAAGAATTGCACATATACATCTTCTTTGTGTATTACTATGCAGTGATATAATTTAGTATTTCCCATAAATTATATTATCTTCTGCCAGTTTCTCCCATGTTGGTATATGTTGTTTCAGGCTGGCCGAAACTTCAACAAAAACCTGCCAATGAGGTATATTCGTCGGCTAATGGGAGTTCACCCAGATTCAAAGTACCATATGCCTAGGGTCCATCGTCATGAAATACCTGAGAACTTTGAACTTCCCAATGAGTTTGACTCTCGCACTGCTTGGTCCATGTGTCCTACCATTGGAGAAATTCGTGACCAGGGTTCCTGTGGATCATGTTGGGTAAGTGTTAAACAGCTGTTTAACCCTTAATTGACACCTTAGGATTTCCTACTCCCCTCCCCATATGCATAAAGTGGAACACAAGGAACATGTAACCTGTACATATGATGGGTACCATCCTTACAGCTAATTTCCACTGACGTTGGCTGCTGTTTAAAGGCTAAGAAAGAGTGATCTGTTGATCTGCCTTGGCTGTTAGTTATGTTCCATACTCGTTTAAATAGGACATAACATGTTACAAGAAATCACTGTGAATTCATTTATTTTCTTCTCATATTCAGTAAAATAAAGCAGTGTCAAGGTAACTACAATGCCCAGCAGTCTATAAAATGCTTAGAGATTCGTATAACTGTAATTGATTGTCACCAAAGAGCTTGTATTAGCTTCGAGGATAATTCTTTGCCTGTATAAGTGAGATTATTGTCTATCTAGAAAGATAATTATATTAAAAGATAAAATATTAATGAATCTTCTGTGATATGAAATTTAATTTGCTCATGATAATTCACAAATTCGTAATTTAATTTATGACTTCCTGAGAAGGTATAAAATATTGGAAGAACTTTCTAGCGCAAGGAAAGCCTACTGAACTGTGTCCGTCTTTGGTACTATAAAGATTGTTGTTGAGTTAATAGATTTGTAACTCTGAACACTTAATAAAATGTCTAAAATAAGAGCTAAATAAAGTCTCTACTCTTCTTTGATAAAAACTTTGGTGTCGTGAAAAAATCCAAATGTGTAGCATTTATTTCGTAGGTCCCAGAATCCTGAGGTGTCTTTCTTATGGCCTTATGTCAAGGGGTTTTACTGGCTTGCACTGTTTTGTCCATGCAACACATGTTTGGGTCAATAATTTGTCAAATCATTTGTACAATAATTCTAAACTTAGCAAAGAGTTTTTGCTTACAGGTGAAGATTTGCATGAACTTTAATTTGTATCAAGAAATATCCTCTTGACACTTCTCACACTGATGTCATTGCAACATAGATTAATTATTATAATATGAAATTCTTGCACTCACAAAAACAACTAATATTGTGTAATTAGTAAATATTGTCTTTTCTTTTCCAGGCCTTTGGAGCAGTCGAGTCAATGAGTGACCGGGTATGCATTCACAGCAAGGGTAAAGAAAATTTCCACTTCTCAGCAGAGGACCTTGTCTCTTGTTGCCACATTTGTGGATTTGGTTGTGAAGGTGGCTTCCCAGGAGCAGCTTTCAAATATTGGGTAACTAGTGGTATTGTATCGGGTGGTTCCTTTAACAGCACCCAGGGATGCCAGCCATATGAGATAGCCCCATGTGAACATCATGTGAAAGGTTCCCGTCCCAAGTGCTCTGAGGGTGGCACAACTCCCAAGTGTGTCAGGCAGTGCGAGTCTTCATACACTGTTGATTATGAGAGTGACTTGCACCATGGCAGTAAGGCCTATGCCATCAGTAAGGATGTTGAGCAAATTCAGTATGAAATCATGACCAATGGACCTGTTGAAGGTGCTTTCACCGTGTATGTGGACTTCCTTCACTACAAGTCTGGAGTTTACCAGCACCGTCATGGTTTACCTCTTGGTGGTCATGCAATCCGTGTTCTGGGCTGGGGGGAGGAAAATGGCACTTCATACTGGCTTTGTGCCAACTCCTGGAACACAGATTGGGGTGATAATGGTCTGTTCAAGATCCTTAGAGGTTCTGATCATTGTGGCATTGAGAGTGAGATTGCAGCAGGCTTGCCTAAAGTACAATAAGGTAAAGATCCTTACATTCTTGTCATTACCTATGGCAAATTTGGTCTTTAGTGAGCATCAGTCATAGAGAATTTAAATAATTAATTTTTAACATGTCTATAATAAATTAGGAGACAATGACAATGTGTACAATTTGAAAATGCTGAAATATTGCTTTTTTTTTGTTTGATAGACCTTTTGTAGTTTGTATGTTAATGAACAGATACATATTGTTATAGCAAGTGGCAGGGCAGGAAAAACTTATAATTCGTCACAAAACTCATTTGAATGTTTTTTATATGAATACAGTAATGAAGATTTTTTGCGATACATATTACATTCCGTAATTACGTAGTAATAATTTTTATCTATAATGTAGTTACATAGTTTGCATTGTTATGTAAAGTTCAGTACTTTCCTATAAATATCAGAAATGTTATACTGTATTGCTATGTATTCTATTACAATAAACAGTTTAAAAATAATACAGTATTCTAAGACTCGTATTTTTCACAATTTATCAATGGTGATATTCTCACTGCTCTTACCCACTTGATTGTACAGGATTACATCTTGGCCTGTTGGTACTATGGTCAGAGATAAGGTGGAGGTTGTAAACTAATTCAAGTGTTTGGGAGATAATCTCATTAAGACGAAAAGTAGAGTAGTATCAGAGATGGAGATAGCATAAATGAACCTGACAACTTCACTTTTTGTTTATGGTGAGAATATAAATCACAGTACTATAAGTGCCAAGGTTCACAGTGATACTTTACATGCAAGTTGAATTATTGAACAATCATTTGGAGAATTCTACACGCTCATCACTGCTCTTATCACAGATAATGAAGAGCCATTACAAAAACTGATTAACAGATTAGTGGAAAAACATGAATTAATTTTATAAAGACAAAGTAATGGTTCTTTCAAAATTATAAATAAATCTTGAAATAAAATTTGTGGTGAACAACAGCAAACTTAAACAAGGGGAAATGTTGTGTACTGTTCTTTGAAAGTAACATCAATTGTGATGTTAGATGTGCAAAAGATATCAAATCAATCATAAGTTATGCAAAAACAACATTTAATGATCTTAATAGACCTGATAAAAAAAGGACACTAAGGTAGACATTCCCAGCAGACACTGAGAGGTTAGAGACCTTTGAAGTGTGGTGCTTCAGGGAATAATAAAAGTGTTACACTGACAGGAAAACAAATAAAAAGGTACAGTACTGTGATTGGTAAAAAAAAAAGAAATAAGAATTTTATAGAACAGAAAGTAAGATACTTTGGCTATATAATTAGGGATGAGGGGATATTGGCAGAAATAGTAACTGGCAAAGTTGAGAGTAAAAGGGCTGGGGGAAGGCATTGGTGCTATGAAGGGCATCCAGTCATAAAACTTCAATTCGGTATGCCTGATGGCAGCTGGGTCAACCAGGGTTGTACCCATCCTGTGGTCTCTGCTGCATTTTCTGGGCTGGTACACTTCTTGCACAGAGGGTACTGGGCGAGTGTTTTCTAGGCTGCCGCTTCCACGACACAAGGAACCCAAACTTGAGTAGCACCCTGAGGGGCTGCTACATCATCAAGCATGTAATACTGTGGCCAGCATTAGTGTCATGATGCACATGGAAAGGTGACCCTGAAGATGGTCATGGTGGCCCACCACGACCAGCTTCAGGGTCACCCTGAGGCCACTGGCCTGCTCTTGCTATGAAAAGTGGATCACAATGGGGGAGTTATATTCCATTTTGGGTGTTGCTTAACTCTTAATAATATTCATGACACACATCACAATCAATAAACATGAACCTACACAATAAAACCACCCACACCACTCAAATGAATGCCACAAGAAACTGTATGCAGTCAAAAGGAAGGAACCTGATGTAGTTGGGTTCAGAGCAGATAGTCTGAGCACAGGTATGATGCATGGAAGAATAGCCGAGATTGTAGAAAGCTTGATGTCTGTTAAGGCCTGTCTACACAATCGAGCAGTGCCCGGCGGGCATGCGCTAAATGCCTGTTATCAGGCAAAATTGGCGGGCAAACCAGCGGAATGGCCGTGCCCGTTGTTGAGCGAAATCATGGTCCGCCTGCCTGGTGGTTTGCTGCAGGATATGGAGCGAAGACTCTGCCAGACAAACGATAAAACCGGAAAACCGACTTTCCTATAATATTGTCATTAATACAGTATTCAACATTACACAAGCCTGCACTACAAGACACGTGTTATTATTGGAACCTCACGTGACTGTCAAAAACAGCTGATCACTATGCCAAAGTTGACCTCGGGGGTAGGGGTCCTCAAGTCGGTGAGGTATGAACAGAGATACTGACAGAACGTATGTTAGCACTTTGTAAAACCTGACTTAAGTACTGCAAATGTGATACGTATATGTTCCCCGCTCGGTCCAGATGTCCAGTGTATAACCAAATAAGCTTATGCAATGTACATTATTGGCATGACAATAAACGGGAGATTGTTCATGTATTATGTAATGAGGACATTCGTGTGTGTGTTCTTCGTTCCTGCCGCTCTCCTCACTCTAGTCCCATAGCTTCCTGTCTATGCTTATCATAATTCTAACATTCAATGAATTTTTATGTACTACAAATATTCCTTGAGCATACTTCATACATGGCTTGACAAGTTGCATGTATTATGCGAGACAAACTTTGTTTTGATATCCTCGTTTTATACTGAAGTGACGTGTAGGTGCACCCAGTTGAAAGATATATGAGCGTTGCCTCCAGACGAGCCTCTGCAGATATACTCTCCCTCATATTGGTATCCTGTTTTTTTATATGTATATGGTTCCACTTTCGCTAGAAGTTTGTAAAAAGTGTTGGGGTCCATTCTCATGCAATTGGTGAAGTCTTGCTCATGTCCATCTTGCAGTTCACGTAAAATCGTGGCATGACTTCCCAATACTTTTCTTCGACCTAACCACTTTTTGCACCATTCCCTTTTCTGCATTTGGTTCTTCTCTTTGCAAATAGCAGCAATTATTATAGTACACAACGCTATGCTCTTCGCTTTAACTGTCTGGCGATTATTCCTGCGACACACCATGGTGATCGTACCGCACCTGCCACTGCCGACCACCTACTAGCTACCAGCGCCCGAATATGACTGCCGCCAACCACCCCAGTGTGTACAACAACATACAGGCTTTGACCGATAAACGGGCAAAGCCCTCCGGGCACTGCTCGATTGTGTGGACGGGGCTTTACATGCATGAGACAAGATAGAAAGATTGGTTTAGAAAGGATGATCACTGGTAAGAATGATAATTTCAAGATAATCTGGAAGTGGAGTGAAAAGTGGGCAGAGAAAGTGTTAATAGGTGAAAAGAATAAATGAGAGAATTATGGTTGTGAAGCTATTAGTAGTAAAGAATCTGATGACTGTCATATCTGTTTACACCCCACAAGTTTGGCTAAGTGAAGGATGAGTTATTGCATGTAGTGTCAAAGCTGGGTGAAAGGAAACAGTGGTGACTTAAATGTTAATGTCTTGGCGCACACTGAAGGTTATGATGGCATGCATTGTGGAAAATGCCACGTCACAAGAAATGAGGAAGGAAAAAGAATATTTGAGTTTGGGAATGTAATAAATAAGTTTTATGCAACACATTGTTTAAGAAGAGGGTTAGTAGGCTAATTATATTATGTATGAGTGGTGGAACAAATTGAAAGGTTATAGTTGGGGAAGAATGTGTCTTGCAACACATATTGCTTGTGTGTGAAATGCTGTTGAAAAGGTGCAGAGTAAGGAAAGTGTATGACCCAAGAAGGACAGTGTGGAAGTTGAAGAAACTGTGGAAGAAAAGCATTTTACGCTGTGCCAAGAACACTGCATCCAGTGTGTGAGGGGTTAGTACAGTATCGTGAGATGTTGAGCCAAAATAAAGGACGTTCAGCTGGGTGTACTTGACAAGGTGTGTAGCTGGACAAAGGGCCCAGCCAGGCATGCAGTAACAGTAGTGAAATGATGAAACTGAAACTTACAGTACAGTAATTCATTAGCTTAATAGCTTTGTACTGAGTTTTTAAAATCAATACGTACATAAAACTTATAGGAAATTATTCATCATTATCACCACTGTTTTATAGCCATTTTCTACTCTTGCGTGGGTTAGCTGTGATTACTTGATGGCACGGTGTTGTGGTTGCCATCAGGAAAATTTTATTAAGTTTTATGGCTGGTAATGTCATTTAAATAATGTATATGCTAAATTTCTAGTTCAAGTACTCCTGTTGTGCCATAGCCAAGTCAAGCTGGTCAGAGGGGGACCCAGAATAACACACGTTGTAAATTTTTTTTAGAATAATTAGATGGAAGGAGAAAACACATCTTATCAAGCAGTCATGTCAAGATCTCTTCACAACACTTGCCAATATCACATCATAAACTTACTTCCACCCTGAGTTTCATCATAAATACTGAAGTGTGTTTCTTGCCAAGGCTTACCCATAAGGATGGTATGGGTTTTAAATTATACCATTATGAAAGAGCAGTGCAGCAAGTCAAATATGGGTAAACATGGGAGTCACCCCACTTCCTGCAACACTTGACTGGCTGCATATTATAAATGCTAGGTAGGTCAAGGTGTGGATCTGAGCCATTCAAGCCATATATGTGCCAAGGGTGTTAGGTCTCAAGGCCACCAATTGATCATGGAACCATGGGAAGATTTGGTACAGTACTTGGTTCACATACAGGTATACAAGCATCAGGTACAGGTACAGTATCCCCCTATTTACGATGGGGTTACGTTTCTGAAAAACCCATTTCAAGTCAAAATATCATAAATCAGGATCATTATTAACATGGGGTTCAATGGGATATGTTCCCAGCCAGTCCGACACCCACGTATCACCGAAAATAAAATTCCTACAATAATAATATACCTACAACACAATTAAACAACACTCACCACATCATTAAGAGCATGGCTGGTCATCATCACATGTCCCCTTCAAGGCTAAGGGAACTCTTGAAGGTGAGGTAGAGACATCACTCTGACTCCCACACAGCTTCACAATGTCCTGGGTGCAGTGGCCTTCCCAGACATCTTCAAAGCTACACTTCTTATTTCACAGAAAGAGTGAATGATGATAACATAAAAACAATGATAGCGGCCAACACTGCTCACATCATGTTCACAACAACAGAGGCAAAGCAATTTACAGTCACAAAAAACATACCAAAAACCACTTCACAGTCACCAAAACAGAGTACTGTACAATGTGAATATTATTGATGTCTTCTCACTGTAAGGTAATAAAAAAAAACAAAAAAAAACACCGATGATAAGTAAGAACATTGATACTGATTGATAATCATTGAGCTACACGTTCACTGCCATGCGTGATCACCATGGAACAACGCTTATGACTGTAGTGCACCAGGTGGCCGCGCACAGTTACCGTAGACTGCAGCTGACAAGTACAGTGAGATATGGATTCCATATTC